ATCACACACCCGTCCACCCCCCCTTCCACACCCCCATTACCCCCACGCCCACCCCCACCGCCAGCACTCACAACCACCCTCCTCCCCGCCTGCATCCGCCCATCATAGTAGTCGCTCCCGTACCGCCGCACCCCGCGCTCAGCCGCAAAGTTGGCCCGCGCCAGGTCCTGGTACAGACGGGTCTGCAGCGTGTGGAGGGTGTGTCGGAGGGCGGTGTACTCGTCGAGGAGGGTGAGGTAGTGTGTTAGGAGGGCGTCGATGGTGGTGTTTGAGGGGGGGGTTGGGGTTGTGGTTGTGGTTGAGATTGAGGTTGAGGCTGGGTTTGGGGGTGGTGGGGTGGTTTGGGCGAGATCGGGATCGGGGTTGGTGGTGGTGGTGGTGGACATGATTATTTGTTTGATGTTGGGGTTTTGGGATTGCAAAGGCGTTTGTTTGCTGGAGGGTTGGAGGTTTTGTTTCGTTTTCTTCTGAGTGTTGGTGGATGGTGATGACTGGGTTTGATGTTCGATTAAGAGTTGGGTGAGATGATATTGGGAATTTAACATGTGGTTGGTTGAGCACAAGATCCTACAGAGGCCCCACTTGAATTTATGAACCTGTGCTAAACAAACGGCGGATGCCAGGTAGCCAAGGTCCTCTCAGTACAATGTTAAGTGAATTCACTACCCGAGATGGCAGAAGCCGCGGAAGCTCAAATTGAGAAATTGAGGAACTGGATCCAGGGTCGCCGCATCTTTGCAACTGCCATCCAAAGCTTGATACCTTGTCGCAGATCACGGCATGCCAGCCATGGCCCGTCGAGCTCGACCCGGGATTATACCGATAGGCGTTCCATGCTTGCTTCTGGGCGGTTTTTAGTTCCAGCTTCAATGTACCCCGTGTCTCGGATAGAAAATATTGGCCCGTAAGAGCTTGCGTGAAGGCTGCAGACCGAGCGAGCGTCCACCGATGAGACTCGGACGACCTTACCTCTTCGAGTTACAGATTAGACTCGACGGATGGAAATTAGCCAGATATTGCCCCAAGGCTGTGTGCGGTTGACCGCCGGGCAAGAGCATAACGAAAGATCAGCAAACACCAAACAAAAGTGTTCATAGCTCCCGCCCAGCGAGCATGCCCCACTTACCCTTGCCAAGCCGACTCCGAATCCAGCAAAAACGCAGCAAGTTTGTGCTGGTGATGCTGCTGCTCCACGCGATGCTCTCACTGGGTCTTTTGTGCGTCGTCGACATATTGCCGTAATTTTACCAGAAGGAGTAGGCTCCCGAGGCTCATCACTTCCTAGTTCGTCTCAGGTGCTTGGATTTGGATGCAAAGGCCCCGCGCCCCTCATGCAACCCCATGCTGTCACTGTGATGCCACGGGCGGAACCTTCTCCGACAGTTTTCTTAGCCTATCTTCGTGCGCGCCCTGGATCAATGATATCGCGGGAAAATGTATTCAGAAACCCACAGAGCCCGGGACCGACTATGCAGCAATGGCGAGATCGAGCGAACACTCACCTTGACGTGAAGGAGAGCCAACCATGGTTGCCCGTTAGGCCAGAAACGGGCCGTGACCAGCCGGGGACGATCCTGGATCAAGAGGTGATAGGGCCGCGCTTCTGTCGCACAGCATTTGCCGGCTTTTACATCTGTACGTTTTCCAGAAGGCCAGCCAATGCAGCCCAGCGCCCACCTGCCAGCACATGTGCCAGACAAGCTGCCGGAACATGGCACGCCAAAGAACACATGCGCGCGTATCGAACTTGATGCGTTTCCAGGTTATTTTATGTACATACCATACCTATGCCGTACGTTCACTCGGACATCACTGTCGTCTAATTTTCCAATCTGATCTCCGTCCAAACCCTGGCAACGTGCTTAGCTCGAGTTGGTTAGTGCAGCCAGGACCCTCCGGCTGTCTGCCACCTGATTGCCGGGATTCAAGCATCGTCGTTATCAATCGACCGATTGCGAACGCCGACGAGAGAAAGCCCAACCGAATGTGGGAAGCCTGCTTGGCCCCAGCGCACAGGACCCCCGGCCAAAGAGACCACTGACCGCTCGCCTGGCATTCTTCCCCAGCGAGCCAGGCCCTCCTGGTTTCCCAAGCTCCCCCCGTAATCTTACGAGGCTGCTGCTGCTTGCACGCTTGCAACAAAACCTCCAGTCCCCTTTTATTCATTCACAACCCGGACCCATCTCCCTTTCCCATTCAATTGCTTCCCTGCGACTCAAACTGCTGCTCTCTGTTAATCGACCGAACCATTCTTGTTTCTTCGTCCGACTCGATCAACGAACACTGCTTTGTCTGTACAGACACGCCCCCCCCCTTCCCCTCTAGCTTGTCTCGAACATCAATCGCCTTGCTTCATTCGTCATCTCTCCCACCGCCGAAACCCCATTATTTGGTTTCCCACTTCCCCATCCCTTCGCTTCCCAAACTCCACTCCACCGCCCTGCGTGCGCACTTTCGGATTGCTAGTGGTCTACAAAGCGCGATAAGGGGAAGACGAGTTTGGCTGCAAGCCGTCTTTTCCTAAGGCGGACGACGAAACCAAGTCATATCAAACGCCCGACTCCCTTCTAGGAGCTCCGTTTTCGAAAATGGTCCTCGGAACTATCAAGTATGTCCGCCCTCACCAGCACGCGGCAGTACAAGCGGCCGCTCGCAAGCCTTGTTGATGCATGGACGAGCCCATAGAGACGTATCTCGTCTTGAGGGTGTTGCTCGGGAATTACCGTCTCGATTAGACGCGTCCCTGCCGCTTCGATTGCCTGCGCGCAGCCCCGCCGCCCTCTAAGCCGAGAGACTGTGACTGACCGAGTAACCTCCTTCTAGGTGCGTGGTCGTCGGTGACGGTGCTGTCGGCAAGACATGTCTTCTCATCAGCTACACGACGAACAAGTTCCCCTCGGAATATGTGCCCACAGTCTTCGACAACTACGCCGTCACGGTTATGTATGGCGAACCCTGATGATGCGCTAGCTCGCTCCGCTCTCGTCACACCGCTAAACAGATGCTTCTAGGATCGGTGACGAGCCGTACACGCTGGGGCTATTCGATACGGCCGGACAAGAAGATTACGACCGCCTGCGCCCTCTCTCATACCCCCAGACTGACGTCTTCCTCGTCTGCTTCAGCGTCACGTCACCAGCGTCTTTCGAGAACGTCCGCGAGAAGTGGTTCCCCGAGGTACACCACCACTGCCCAGGCGTGCCGTGCCTGATCGTCGGCACCCAGGTGGATCTGCGGGACGACACCCAGGTGGTGCAGAAGCTGAATAAGCAGAAGATGGCGCCGGTGAAGAAAGAGGATGGCGAACGGATGGCGAGGGACTTGGGCGCTGTTAAATACGTCGAGTGCAGCGCGCTCACGCAGTTCAAGCTCAAGGATGTGTTTGATGAGGTGCGTACCCTAGCGCCCCCAAGCGGGCCACAGCCTACGATGATGGACAATGACGAGGTCGACTAACGGTTTTCAGGCTATTGTTGCTGCGCTTGAACCGCCGCCGCCGAAGAACAACAGGACCAGCAAACACAAATGCCAGATTCTCTGATACGGGCTTGGAGCATATGGCGTGATGGCCAGTCAGACTTGATTCAACTGGCGTGGGGGCCAGCCCATCAGGAAACAAAGAATCTGGACAGCTATATACCCAGGTCAATACGACCAGCCGTCACCCCGCGGCTTGAAAGTTGTCTCGAGCGGGCGCACAACAATTGGACAGCAACCCCCAAACACCCTCTATCCGGGGAAAAGAGGGATTTGAGAGCAAAACCCGGGCAAATAGCCAGGGTTGTTTCCTCCTGGAACTGCCTTAATTCGCCTTGGGCCACGAACGACGCCCAATTGGAAAACAAGGGCTGGGTTTATTTACTATCAAAAAGGGTGGCCTGGAGTTGATCATTGTTAATTTTGTTCTCGAGAGACATCAACCCCAGCCACCCAGCTTCTTGGTACCGACCCTCCCTGGCTTGGTAGCGGGTATTTTTTCCTTCCTTCTTGATTCTATCTCTCGTCAATGGGGGGCAAGTTCATAAACCGAGGCAGGAAACTTTCCATTTTGATAGGACAGTATGGCGATCGGTGTGCAATTGAATCAAGATCCTCCTATTTTGACCTACATCTGCTTCATCCAGGATATTCATTTAGCACTACATCTCCAGAGAAGTCCAGCCCCGCAGCAGACCTCTCTCGGCCTGAAATAGTTGTGTTCACCAGCGTAGAGAGCCGGCCGGGAACTGCGGACATTGAAGCACGGAATGCAAACTGGTAATGGTGCGGACACCCCGAGGGTTCAGTAAATATCACGGCTGTAACTAGTGGTTTGATACAACGCACAGGCATTGATTAATATAGATTGAGAACTCCTTCGTACAGCGTCGCGGTTACGGGGATAGGACTGAGACAAAACTTTTGCCAGGGATGGCACATAGGATTCAAACCACAAGAAAAACGCGGCGCCGATTGCTTACATGACTCATTCACTCCCCTCGAACCAAAGGGTGCAGCTCCTAGGAAGAGTGGTTCAATTTCGAAAGTGTTTTCTTGTCATTGGCAAGTTGAGGAAAAAGTTCAGACGAGGAGCATGGCCTAGGATGAACCATCTAACAGAACGACATATCCTCGAGTCAGCGGAATAGTTTTATCGGGTAGGTATGTATGTACCTCCTTTTTATGTCCACGCATACACGTCTGCCAGAGTCCATGATCCACGATCCCTACGGTCATTGCACCTGGGCAGGCACTTAGGCTTGGGATTGGCCTTGGGGACTTGGAATTCTGATCCCATCGTGCATCTCAGATGGGGATATCGTCAATTTACATAAAATCCCTGAGTTTAAGATCCTATCAACTGGAGTCGAAATTCGGGGTTCTCGAAACTAACACGACAGCAAATATCAATGACGGAAGCTCATCGTCCGGATCCAACTTTGCCATCGACTTGTTGATCGCCATAGGCGTGTTCCATATGTCGAGCCCAGATCATGCGGAACGACAGACCCGTAGTCCCGGGACATGGGGCGCAGGACCCTTATCTTGCAACTCTCAAACAGACACCGTGAGTCATTGTGGTGTTTCGGGCACCGGCCGAGGAGTCAAACCCCCCAATTGCCCCGCTAACTTTTTCTCTCCCAGACCCAGACCCCTCAACCCCACCATTCACCCATTCTCCCCCTCCTTGCCTTGTCACGTTTGCCCACCAACAACTCCTCCACGCACGAACCAAAAAAATAAACCTGCGATTGAAAGCGCACCAGTGCGAACGACAAGATGGCCGCGCCGCAGGACCTCGCCGACCGCACCAAGGCCGCAGCGCCCGACTCCAAATGTTACATTGACCCGGTCTCGGGCAAGGACGATGCCTCGGCGGACGGGTCCGAGGCCAAGCCGTACCAGTCCCTCTACTATGCCCTGCTGCAGCACATCGACAAGCCGGCACCGGCCTATCTCACCCGGCCGGCACCGGCCCCCGCAAAGGAGGGAGCAGCCAGCACGGAGCCTGCGGCGGCACCGGCGTGGGAGGAGCCGGCTAAGAGCGCCATGAAGAAGGCGGTTAGCCGGGTGGAGGCGCACAAGAAGAAGCTGGCCAAGGAGCAGGCGTCGGCGAAGCAGGAGGAGGAGGAGCGCAAGCAGCGGCTCAAGAACCTAGAGGACGCCAAAAAGATCGTGCTGCGGGAGGACACCTCGCTGCCACCCGCGGTGCGCATCAAGATCAACAACAAGTCGGTGGAGCTCGGGGACGGCAAGGACAAAAAGGGAGCGCGGGTGAAGGTGTACGGGCGGATCCACGAGCTGCGTGCGCAAAAGACGACGACCTTCATCACGCTCAAGGACGGCTACGGCTACCTGTCGTGCATCCTGCCGGCGGGCGACCTGACCAAGAACTACGACGCGCTCATGTTCGCGCTGGAGACGGCGCTGGTGCTGCACGGCGAGATGCGCGCTGTGCCCGCGGGCGTGAAGGCCCCCGACAGCCGCGAGCTGCACGTCGACTACTACCGCGTGCTGGGCACCGCGCCGAGCGACCTCGAGGCCATCACCAACAAGGTGTCGGCGCAACAGGACCCGTGGGACGCGCAGATGCTCGACAACCGCCATCTGGTGCTGCGCGGCGAGAACGCCTCGTCCGTGTTGAAGCTGCGCGAGTTCGTCGAGCTGGCCTTTATCGACAGCTTCCGCGAGATGGAGTTCCGCAAGGTGTCCCCGCCCGCCATGGTCCAGACCCAGGTCGAGGGCGGCTCCACGTTGTTTAAGTACGATTATTATGGGGAGGAGGCCTACCTCACCCAGTCGAGCCAGCTGTATCTCGAGACGGTCATGCAGTCGTTGGGTAACGTGTACTGCATTGAGAAGTCGTTCCGGGCGGAGAAGAGCTTGACGAGGCGTCACTTGTCCGAGGTACGTGACTGGCACTGGCACTGGCAGCGGGCGGGCGCCTAGAAAGGGGATTGGGAGGAAGGCTGACGGGACTTTTAGTACACGCACGTGGAAGCCGAGCTCGACTTCATCGAGTTCAACGACCTGCTGGACCACCTCGAGGAGATGATCTCGCGGGTGGTGGACAAGGTGCTGGCGGACGAGACGATGCGCGGGTACGTTGAGACGCTCAACCCGGGCTTCCAGAAGCCGACGCGGCCCTACATGCGCATGAAGTACGAGGAGGCCATCGAGTGGCTCAACAAGCAGGACCCGCCTATCCTCAACGAGGACGGCAACCCGCACGTGTTCGGCGACGACATCGCCGAGGCCGCCGAGCGCCGCATGACCGACATCATCAACCGTCCCATCTTCCTTACGCACTTCCCCGTCGAGATCAAGGCGTTTTATATGAAGAAGGACCCGCAGGATCTGAGGGTTACTGAGTCTGTCGATGTATTGAGTATGTTTTTTCTTTTTTCTTTTTTTTTTTTCTACCCCAAGAGATGGTGCATACATGGGAAGATACTGACTTTGCAACCAGTGCCTGGTGTTGGCGAGATCGTCGGTGGTTCCATGAGAATGGACAACTACGACGAGCTGATCGAGGCGTACAAGAAGAACGGCATCCCGCACGAGCCCTACTACTGGTACACTGACCAGAGGAAGTAAGTTTCACCTTTGCCTTCCTTTCGCTCACCGCCTCCTGTCCGAGAGAATCCGGAAATATCCAACGCTACCTGCTATTCCTGTTGTCGTTGTTTTCTTCGAGTTGCGCCGCACGGCTGACTGACTGACGTGTCTGTCTAGGTATGGCTCGTCGCCGCACGGTGGATACGGCCTCGGCCTGGAGCGCTTCCTGGCCTGGATGGCCAACCAGCACACTGTCCGTACATGCAGCTTGTACTCGCGCTTCATGGGGCGGTGCAAGCCTTGAGGCCCGCGAGGGGGGTTGGGCTGGTTTGAGGGTGGTGGAGTTTGGGGGAGGGGGAGGCCGGTTTTCGGCGGTGTCAGACGGTCTGGGCTAGGCCTAGGTAGATACGTTGATAGATATCCCTACCTAGATTTGGAGGTTGGGGTCCGGACTTACCACTACCCCTGATAGACAGGCGTGCTTTGCATCCATGAGGATTTGACGAAGAAAGCTCACCTTGCTAAATACAGTGATTCTAGTGAACCTGTGTTTGTTGTTTTTGTTTTGACACGCTCAGGGGGCTGTTTTGACACGTGCGGCGTTTGGGGAGTTGGGAGGGGAAGGATTGTGGCACCGTGACATTATTATTAACGATCCGAGATCTGGGATCGTGGTTGCAGCTGGTAAACCCTGGGGCCTGCGCTTGTTTCTCTGCGGCGTGGGCGGTAGCGTGTGCGGCGGCGGCTGCTTGTGATCCTTGACAATTCATCCGCCGGGCGGCCGAGCCAGATCCTCGGGTTCTTTTTTTCTGACGGGGCAGTTAGTGTAGCGAGGATCTGTGTGAGCCCTGGGGAATCTGTGAATCCTTCGGGAGATGTGCGCCCCTGTGTCTGTCTGTGCTGCTGTTGTTTGGTTTCGGTAGGTACATGAGTGTACATGTGCATGAGGTACCGACTGATGAAACGGTTTGTTTACATCTTCGGGTGCCTTCGTCTGTTTTCAAAAAAGATATTACCATGAACGGAGAGGGAGTGTTGGTCGTTGAAGCGGTTGGAAGCACCTCGCCGTTGCTACATTGGCTCACTCGGGCTAGAAAAAAAGAAAAAAGAAAACCGAACTCGACAAGAGAACAAAAATCAAGAAACTTAACAAAGGTAAACAAAACCAAGAGAAGAGAAAGAGATAAAGGAAACCGAGCAAAATAAATAAATAAAAAGAAATCGAGTAAAGTAAAAAAAAAGTAGACTTTTGAATAGCTTTCTTTTGCCTGTGGGATGATTGCCATTGGGAACGGTTCTGTCCTAAACAGGCAAGCGCCGGCCGCTCGTTCAGGCATTTATCCATGACGGGCCTCGCTCTCGGCAAATGCAGTCAAGATACCTACTTCGTACTCGAATGGGCTTTTGTTTAGGTGAAGTTTATGCTTGTTGAATCTAGATCTGTCGCTGGTTGCCTACGAGCCTCTTCAGCGCTAGAGATTCCTTTGATGGCAAAACTGACGAGGCTGAGGGTCTGGCTTCCACACTTGGCACTAGCATGAGGCGAAGGAGCACGTCTCGCTTCCGTGTCTCTTACGAATTGTCTACCTGTCCGGCTTTTCCGCATTCATCCTGCTGGTATCCTCGACAGTGGCTTGAGGGGAGTAGCTTTTGGTATCAATTTTGTCGAGGCTGGGATATTCCATTTAGAAAAGAGCTGTTTGATCTCGTCATAGAGGCTTCGTTTACAAGGAGATGGGAACTGTCCCGTGCCCCCTAAGTTATAGGCTTGTCATAGCAGATGACCATGGCGGCGACAATGATAATCCCAAAATCTGGCCCTGAAAAGTTGGTTGAGAGCATATGACGTTACTAGAAGGGAGCTAGATAGAGCTAGAGATATGTGTGCTCGGGTTTGGGAAAGGCTTTGGAATGGAAGGTAAAGGGGTTGTGTAACCGGCCAATTTCGCAATACCGTGAAACTTGGTCATTTCTGCCGAAAGTACAGAAATTAGACCACGATGATTATTCGCATAATTGAGAACTTGCAGCAGTGCGATCACGACCCGCCACCTCCCTCGAGAGTCATCGCACTGGAGACGTCTCGTGCCCTGCTCCAAACTGGCACCGCCGGGCTGGGCGGATTGTTGGGTGGAGAGACACGGAGTGAGGTGTGAGAAGGGATCAGTGTTGGTTGAAAGTATGCACACTGTGCGCATCGCCAACGATCTCAGTGGACAGAGGAATGCAAGGCAGCCTAGGTGTGTATGTGTGCCATATTGCGAGATGCGTCGGGGTTTGATACTTGTCAACGCTGAAGTACCTACCCAGGTAGGTACCCTAGGTAGGGACTTAATCTGTACGTGCTGACAGCACAGAGGGGGGAATGTGTGTTAACAACCGAGAAGCAGTTTCCAATCCATCTCGAAGTTGGGTACCCGCCTACGAACGAATATGTGTACACATTAGGTACACGCAATGCTAGTCAAAGTTACCTCGACAAGACCAAGTGCATTCGATTGTTGCATTTCGATCTCGAGATTGTCTCCAGGAACCGCACTTCGTACCGTTTCTCACCGCAACCTGTCGCACACGATGTGATGTGCAACCCAACCCACACCAATCGGAAATTGACACGGTTAAACAGAGTTACGCGAGAATGGCCCCTGGGAAAGCGGTATGACAGAGCGAGTGAACATGCGTGACGGCACACGGTCCCCAACTCAATCAATGTGCTTCCTGAAGCGACCGCCCTGTGCCCCTAAACCCGCCGTCTGCCGCATCTTCGAGATGCAGCCGCATTGGTCCCTGACAGTTTTTAATATGGACGTACCGGGAAGATGCAAGATATTCGGGGGGTGTTTTTGTCGCAGAAGCCCGCGATCGGTAAGGAATCTGCAGGGTTCCCGCTCTGCGGCCCCACCATCTGGGCTGGCGCTGCAGTGCCGCGACTTAAACTAACCCCCTGAGGAGAAACGGGAGAAACCTCCATCGGGGTCTCGACTCTTTTCTGCCAGGTACCTTACCTATGGACCTAGAGTCTCCTGCCAAAACTTTCATGCCCGGTATTCGGCACTCAGAAATAGACTGGCAGTGATTCAAAGCCTCAAAGAATGAAGCTGGGGAGAGGTTAGAGGCACAGAAAAATAGAATATAACTAACATACGAATATTGCTTCACCAATAATGAAAAACCACGGCGGTTGCTGATTGGCATGGCGCTCAATTGGCTTGTGCAAAGTCATGTACCCGCTGAGAGGTCGCATGGCCACCGAGCTCTGGGCGCCGTGCCCCTGCAAGGAACAAAAAAGCGACCTGGCTGCCAGGTACCCGCAGAGATGGACCGTGCCAGACGGCCACGGTTCCCTGCCCATTGCAATTAAAGCGACTTTTAGCTCCATCCACCCCAATTCGGATGGCTCCTGGCCTGGGCTCCAATCTTTCACCTCCTTTTTTCCCCTTCCCTCTTTTTCTCTTGCTTCCCGCATCCTCACTCGTTGGACTTGTTACCTTGTCCCTTCGACTCGGACCTCCCTCCGACTTGCCTTTTTCCCTTCCTATCTATCGTTCTTTTATAGGTATTAATTCGTTGGCGCAAACCGGGGACTACGACGCTCGCCTGTTCGACGAGACGCGACCCGCCCGACTTCCGGGCCCCTTCGTTCGGACGAGGGCTCTCGTGCCCATTCGCCAATCTTGCATCTTCTCGACGCTCGTTTGAGAACCGCTCGCTCGACTTCCCGATAGCCCATTAGCATTTTAATACTCGACATCCTTCTTTGTCCGAATTGCTAGTCGAGGCTTCACCGCCCAGCCAATCTCGACCTTTGCCGTTGCTCCCGTCCGTCCGTCTTTGCTCGAAAACGGGACCTGCTTTTCAAAGAGACTGCATTGCTTGTCAATCATTTTCTTTCTTTGGAATTCAGCCGCCGCAGAAGTGCTAGCTGTGTGTGTGTTTGCTCCTCGGCTACATTTAGCGTCCTCGGAACGCCCCTCGACCTTTGCACTGTTCGTCTACCGCCTGTGCATTCCAGCTCGCAATATCCTTCTCGTGCCTTTGACGGGGCACGTATAATCTTTCAAAACGGCGGTTCTTTCTCACCAAGCTAGGGACAGCCTGGTCCCGCCGCATCTTCTCGGGATGCAGGATATGTCGGCTCATCAGGGCGGGCCGAGTGCCCCCGGCGGTCGTTTCGGCCATGCCTCGAAGCCGTCGAACAGCGACACCGGTTTCTCTCATGGCGCCTTTACTTCCAACATTAGCGGTTTTGCCGATAGACACCCTCGCCGTGGGAACATTCCCACCATCAACACCCAACCTATCCAACATCATCACCAGGCGCCTACCAATGGCGCCGACTTGACCACCCCTGGCACTGCGTTCGACATGCAGTTCACTCCTCTTCTGCCCTCCCAGTTGCTCCTAGGTAGCCCGTTCCAGCCCGGGACCCCTGCGGCCTTCGCGAGCCCCCACTTCCAGAACGTGAACACTTTTCAGCAGGCCCAGCAGCAGAGCCTTCAGCAGCAGCAGCAGCAGAATGGCCCGTCAAGCCCGGTCCAGCAGAATATCTCGCCCCAGATGTATCAGTCCATTGTGTCCCCTTCGGCCTACGGCGCCCCCCAGTTTTACGCGCCCCAGTCTCCGACCGGCTCGTTCAACAACGTGGGAGGTCAGATGCAGGTGCCCATGCAGCCGACTTCGCCCGTGTCGATGGGCCCTGGCATGGTCACCGGCACCAGCCGCACCGTCTACCTTGGCAACATCCCCCCTGACACAGCTGCAGAGGAGATCCTGGGCCATGTGCGCAGCGGTCAGATTGAGTCGGTCCGCCTGCTCCCGGATAAGAACTGCGCTTTTATCTCGTTCCTGGACGCCAGCTCCGCCACCCATTTCCACTCCGATGCCATCTTGAAAAAGCTCTGCATCAAGGGGCAGGATATCAAGATTGGCTGGGGTAAGCCTTCGCAGGTCCCGACCTCGGTTGCTCTTGCCGTCCAGCAGTCCGGCGCGTCTCGCAATGTCTATCTGGGGAACCTGCCCGAGGACATCACCGACGAGGAGCTGCGGGAGGACTTGGGCAAGTTTGGTGCCATTGACACGGTGAAGATCGTGCGCGAGAAGAACATCGCGTTTGTGCACTTCTTGTCCATTGCCAACGCCATCAAGGCCGTTTCCCAGCTTCCCCAGGAGCCCAAGTGGCAGGCCCCCCGTCGGGTTTACTACGGCAAGGACCGGTGTGCCTACGTTTCCAAGACGCAACAGCAGAACGCCGCTCAGTACCTTGGCATCGCCCCTGGCTACGCCCACATGCTGACCGGCGCCGACCGCGATCTCATCTCGAACGCTCTGGCTCAGCAGTCCGTGGCGGCTGCTGCTGTGGCTACCACGGCCGGTGGCATTGGCAATTTGGGCAACCGGACCATTTACCTCGGCAACATCCACCCCGAGACCACTATCGAGGAGATTTGCAACGTGGTTCGGGGCGGCCTACTGCACCACATTCGGTACATCCCCGACAAGCACATCTGCTTTGTGACCTTCATCGACCCCACAGCTGCCGCGTCGTTTTACGCGCTGAGCAACCTCCAAGGCCTGATGATTCACAACCGTCGCCTGAAGATCGGCTGGGGCAAGCACTCCGGGGCTCTCCCGCCTGCGATCGCCCTTGCCGTCAGCGGTGGTGCCTCGCGGAACGTGTACATTGGTAATCTCGATGAGACCTGGACTGAGGAGCGGCTGAGACAGGACTTCTCCGAGTATGGCGAAATCGAGCTCGTCAACGCCCTGCGGGAGAAGAGCTGTGCGTTTGTCAACTTTACCAATATTGCAAACGCGATCAAGGCCATCGAGGCAGTCAGGGGTAAGGATGAGTACAGGAAGTTCAAGGTGAACTTCGGTAAGGACCGCTGCGGTAACCCGCCCAGGCAGATGCAGCAGCAGCAGCAGCCGTCGCCCCGTGGCGACCAAGTCCCTTCCCCGCCGGGCAACGGCTCTACACCGAACGGCAACTCGCCCACCAACTCCAACGGCGCCTCTTCTGCGGCCTTGTTCAACAACGCTGGCAACCCGCTGACCATGTACCTGAACCACGTTTCCCAGCAGGCGCAGCAGCAGCAGCAACAGCAGCACCATGTGCTCGCCGCACAGCAGGCCGCTCTCTTTGGCACCGCCTCGTCATCGCCCAATGAGCCCGGACTGGCCCTCGAGGTCCCGCAAGGCCCCATCTCGGGCCACCAGCAGTCGGCCAGTATCTCTAACGGCTACATCACCAACCCGTCCGCGTCGGGCGCGCCCACCATTGGCGGCCTGCTCGCGCCGGGTAACTCGCGCGCCTCCCACAACCGCGCCGTCAGCCTGCCGGTCTTTGCCCCGTTCGAGAACGGCGGCACCAGCCCCAACAGCCTGCACGGCAGCGTCGGCGGTGACGGCGGCGAGCAGCGCCGTGGCCACCAGTACCAGGCTAGCTTCGGCGGCATGGGCAACGGCTATGGCCTGGCGATCCAGGGGAATCTGAACGGCTGGGTCGAGGAGGAAGTTGCCAACTGAGCTTGAGACTTGGGTTGGGCCGTCGGCGAGCGTCAGTGTGGGAACGGCGGACCGAAAAAACCGGGATCAGATTCGAGTATTTTGTTGTAATTTGTTTGGGTCAGTACTATTTATTTTGGATTTTGGCGCGCCGCCTTTGCTTTTCTAATCCCTGCCGCCGCTGTCTTTTTTAACCCACTTCGCTCCTTGTAATAGCACACCTTTCGCTTGTATCATGTTTTTTGGGCTATTGTTGTTGTTTTTTTGACTTCTGTTTCGCTTGTCCCGGATGGTCGTCGTCAGATCTGGTGGGTGGTGGGCGGTTGTGTGTAGTTGGGTAGGTAATTGGGTGACGGCTGAGGAGGACAAGATAGGAAGAGGAAGAAGGGGGATTCGGGTTTCTCGGCCATGACGAGGGTTGGTTGGTTCGAGAGATGGGGTGGCATTGCGGGGGTTAGCATGGAAAGGGATCTCATAGGATATCATAGCTGGGTGAGGACGGGGCATGGGTTGGCGCTATTGCCCGATCGTGGTTAGGTAGACAAGGAAAGGCAATCTCACTGCGTTTGTTTTATGCTTGTTCTTTGGTTGAGCTGCTGTGCCTAAGGTGATGATGTATGTGAGCCAAGCAGGCCTAATGAAGGCAGGCTACCTGCTCGGAGTCGATATGCTGGTGGTTTTCGGGTGAGAGGTGAGGCAGCCTGGGGAGTGATGATTAGTGGGCTTAGCTACGCCGCCTAGACACGACCGCGAGTATATTTTAACCTGGGGACATATGTTGGGAAAGAACTTGGCTTATTTGACTATTTATGTAGTTATCATCGTCATCAAAAAGGGGTCACGAGTTCGAGTTCCAACCCTAACCCCCAGTAAAAGTTCCTTCACGAGACTGTCCGACGCGACTTGCCAATTGACTTCGTCGCATCCCACCTTATCGCGTCGTCCGCAACTCGCAAGGTGCAACATTTCCTCCAAAACAACACGCACCACCACCACCACCACCACCATGGCGTCCAGATCCGACACAGAGCTCTTAACGGAGCATTTCGGTTACCCCCCCGTCGTACGTCCGCCCATCTCACACCCTATCCCATCCCTTTCTTCAACTCCCCCATACTACCCCCTCCCCGCCGTTCCGTTCCCCTCCGTCCTTACCCCCCAGCTCCAAACTAACCCCCCTCCCCCTCCCCCCCGCCCTCTCATAGAGCCTCCTCGACGAAATCATCAACTCCATCAACTTCCTCGCCGAACGCGCCCTCCACTCCATCGAGCAAGGCCTGCTCAACGCGCCCCCCGCCTCCCTCGGCTTCCGGCCCCCCAAGCCCTCCTCCCGCAGACCACCACCACCACCCAACGGCAGCGGCGATATGCAGTTGCTAGACGGCGAGACGGAGGAGGACGCCGCGGCGCGCCGCCACCGTGAGGAGGTGGAGTCGGGGACGCATCAGTTGGAGACGCTGTTGTGGGCGAGTATTGATAAGGATTTTGATCGGTTTGAGATTTATGTGATGCGCAATATTTTGTGTTTGCGGAAGGTGGAGATGGAGTGGTTGCGGTTGGGGCATTATGAGGGGTTGGTTTTTGAGGAGGGGCCGACGCCGTCGTCGTCCGGCGGGGGTGAGGGTGAAGGGGGAGGTGGTGGTGATGGGGGGGATGGGGATGGGGATGCGGCAAGGTTGAGTGTGGAGGGCGTGAATCGGCTGCGGAGGCGGTTGCAGGCTAGCCAGAGGCTGAATTGCATGCTGGTTGCGGAGCGGGCGCGGAATGCGGCGCTGTTGGGGGAGATGAGGCGGTTGGTTGGCGTGCTGCCCGGGTCGGGGGTCAAGTTGGAGCCCGAGCCCGAGCCTGTTCCCGCTGAGCACAAACCGCCTTTTGGGTTCCTACACGACAAGGGGGACCTCACCGAGGGCGATGCTGAGACGCCGCTTACGACGACGGCTGCGTTTTCGCTCTCGCAGTTGCAATCGCTGCGGGAGCTGTCGACGGCGTTGAGGGGGGTGATGGCGGGCTTGGCTGCGGGCGATGAGGACGAGGAGGATGGGGATGCGGGTGGGAAGGGCAAGAAGAGCTGGCGGAGGGAGAGGTTAGAGTATGTTGAGACAGCAACCAAGAAGCACCTAGAGAATGTGCGCGGACTGGAGCTCGGGAAAAACGGAGAGGTGATGGACGGGGAGTGGGATGGCGGTGGACCGAATCTAGAAAGGGGTGAGGTGGAGAGCCTGGAGCGGGTGGCTGGTATGCTCGGTGGCAATGGGGGACAACAAGACAAGATGGACGAGACTTGAACCGGGCTGAATTTTTTAACAATTATGGCGAAGCTAAAAGGAAGCCCACGAGACGATGGGGCGGGAAGGCGTTTGGGTTGTTTATCATGATACCAAGGGCGCGGTTGTAAAACCATATACGGGTTAACCATAGTTCATCCGTCAGTTCAACCCCAAGCTGGGGCAATTTATTCCATACATTTAAACCCACATGCAAGGGATACGACTACGTGCTAACAGCTTGAGGGGCAGTTGGTGCAGCCGTTTCGGGGGCCTGTGCCCCATCAATTGGCTCCAGCCTTGGCTCCTCCTCCCCGGCCTTGTCCTTTTCCTCGACTTTCGTATCAACGGCCTCGTTCGCGGGAGCCGAAGCTGGCTCAGCAGATTTCACCTCCTTGGACGGGTCTAAGAACCAGTCCGGCACTCCACGGGCCGCATAGTCTCCCCTACCAACCCAAGCCCCAACAAGGCGGCTCCACTTGTAATCACCGCGGTACACACGCTGGATCTCGCGGTAGGCGTAGTCGTTGTAGTACGGTAGGCCCGTCTTCGGATCCCTGTACTTGGCAGGATGATTCGTAATGACGCAAAGCGGTGGCGGCGCGGGTTCTGCAATATGTTAGTGACCATGCCCTCTGCCTTCAAAACAAGAGAAAACACTCACTGCCTAGTCTATTCATCTTCCTCCCGAACAAAATCTGCGTCTGCACCTGCTTGTCTTTGATCGCGAGGTTGTCAAAGTTCTGCAGGATAATGCAGCTACGCGTCACCTTTCCTTCGCGGACAGGGTCAGAAGCGGGGGCGGATGGTTCTTGTGGCGTATCAGGGGGTCTTGCGGACGGTGGGCATGATTTTGTTTGTGGCGTTTGCAGCGGTGTCATAGGGGTGGAAGGTGGTGGAGGAGCCGGGATCGTGATCTTGGGTTTTGGGGTTGATGCTGTTGGAGGGGTGGTTTGTTGTGGTGCGGCAGCAGCGGTTGGTGTGGATGGCGGCATAGACAAGGGTGAGGGGGTATGTGTAGTATTCGGAGCCGCAAGAAAAGGTTTGGCTCCGGCAGGGAAACCTAGCATGGGCATCTGTCCGCCGAAAGAATGCGAGAGCCCCGCAGGAGGCGCAAGAACGGGCGCTGCGAGGACGCCCGAGCTCGGCTTGCTCTCGGGTGGCGGTGGAATGGGAGGAGGGGCCATTGGTGCCGACGCTGGTGCTACGGTCGGTGATGGCGCTATAGGAACTGGTGTTGGCGCAGAAACCGGCATCGATGTAGAAATAGGTGCTGGTACTGAAGCTGGTGACGATGCAGAAACCGGTGCTACCGCAGGAACCGGTTCCAGTGCAGAGACAGGTCCTGGTGATGGGACAGGTGCAGGTGCTGGCGCTGGTCTAGAAACTGGCGCTGATTCGGAAACTGGTGGTGTTGGCGTCGGAGCGAGCGCTGACTCCGGCTCTATGGCTAGAGCTGGTGTTGATGTTGGCGGCGACGCCGTTGCCGGAGCCCCTTGTGCGGGATTAGCAGACAGCGGCTCGGGCGGACCAGGTGGTGCACTCGGTAAAGTTGGTGTGTCGGGCTGTTCTGTTTTAACGCCTGGCGTCTCGAGCGCCTTATCCCCCTCCCCCGACTTCTGCTCCGACTTCTCCACGGGGGTGGTGGGCTTCGATGCCTCGGCTTCTTTCGCCGCGAGAGCTGCCGCGACCGAAACCCTCTTCTTCCGCGGCGCTTTCTCCTCCATCGACACCAAGTTGCCAACATGCTTGTCCTGGCCCTCTTGTAGCTCCTGGATACCACTCCAGAACGTAACCACGGGCCCGTCGAGTTTGCGGCTGTGCAAGGCTGCAATCTTCCTCAACCGCTCCTCCTCCCTCTGCTTCTCGGCCTCCTCCCACCGATTAAGGCTCTTGGAGTTCTGCTTCTCGGTGATAGCAGCCTCAGCGAGGCGTTCTGCCTGAGTCATCGGGGGCTTCTTCTCTGCTTCGAGCTGCTTGGCCTTCTTCTCCATCCGCTCCACCTGTTTCCTCCTCCTGATCTCATCTGACACCATCTTCTGGTGCAGCTGCTGCTTGCTTATCTTGATCATTCCGGCGCTCTGAGGCGCGCGTCGGCAGGTCCGCCGGCGACGGGAGCCAGCTTGTCCTCTCCGACTTTTTCTTAGGTCGTGGCGGCCTGGCAGCTGGTTTTTCGATGCGGACCTTCTTCCTAAACTTGGCGGGTATGGCTTCCTGGGCTTTCCGTTTCCGCTCGGCTGTTCGTTTCTCCCGGGCCTGCCGCTCTAGTTCTTTCTCCCCTTCCATTTCGTCAGCATTTTCTTCCTTATCCTCCTCGTCAAAAGACGAATCCATCAACACGTCAGACGCGTCATCCTGGGCCTCGTCGCTGAACCCGGCATCGTCCTCGTCTTCGGCAAAGAGCAGTTCGAGATCGGAGTCTTCGGCGGCGGGCTCCTCGTTCGCGAGCATGGACTTCATACGATTCCCCGCCGTCGCCCGTTTCGCGCGTGATGTGACGAGCCATTCCACCTTCTGTGGCTCCTCAGCATCGCTGCCGGCATCGCTGCTGTTTGTGCTGTCGGCGTCGGATAGGTCGTCGGGGGAGGAGGATTTCCTCTCGTCTTCATCACTAGCCATTATCGCTCGAATTTTAAATCAAATTGCGAGTTGATAATATTGTAGTAACATACTCTGCTTTTGCTTGTTTGTGGTGTGCTGGGTGATGATGGCATTCGATGCCAAGAGCGAAACACGCTCACAACCAACTTGAAATTCCTACTTTAAATCGGTATCGGAGGAGCAGGTCGCGTGGCAGGGGTTGAGGATTGCCGGCGGCGCGCTAGAAAGAGCCTATGGACCAGCCAAAAAGAACCCCTGCTGAGCAACCCCTCGGGCGGGTTAGCGCCCAATTGCGCCATTAAAGAACCCCACTTCCCCGGTTCCATCCCGTTACATACATCGAATTGTTCTTCTCGACGGCGGGATCGGCCATTGTTGCCGCAACCTTCTTCCGGCACGGCCGAGGATTTTGAATTTGTGTCTCTCGCCTTCCCTCTCCCGTAGAGCACCCATAGGCGTCAATCCTCAGGCTTTCCTAGCACCGCGAACCCCCTGCCCGCCATGTTCCGCCACGGCGCCCGCAGCTTCGCGACAAGCGCACAGCGCCTGGCCGCCGCCGCCGTCGCCGAACCCTCACAGTACCTGATCGGAGTGTCTAAGGCGCAAGGGATCGCTAAGGGCTTGACAGGAGGTAACCAGATCCATGAACCTTCTCTTTGACACCCACCTCTTTTGGTTAGACAACAGCTAACTAACAACCTCACCAGCCATCGGCAACACCCCGCTCATCCGCCTCAACCACCTCTCCAACCAAACGGGCTGCGAAGTGCTCGGCAAAGCCGAGTTCATGAACCCAGGCGGCTCCGTCAAAGACCGGGCGGCACTCTATGTCGTCAAAGACGCCGAAGAACGCGGCCTCCTACAAGCAGGCGGCACGGTGGTGGAGGGCACGGCGGGCAACACGGGGATCGGGCTGGCGCACGTGTGCCGCAGCAAGGGGTACAAGCTGGTGATCTACATGCCGGACACGCAGTCGCAGGGCAAGATCGACCTGCTGCGGCTGCTGGGAGCCGAGGTGTATCCGGTGCCCGCGGTGGCCTTCGACAACCCGCAGAACTACAACCACCAGGCGCGGCGCCACGCCGAGCGCCTCGAGAACGCCGTGTGGACCAACCAGTTCGACAACGTCGCCAACCGCCGCGCCCACATCGAGACCACGGGGCCGGAGATCTGGCACCAGACCGCGGGCAAGGTCGACGCCTTCACGTGCGCGACCGGCACGGCCGGCACGCTGGCGGGGATCACGCGGTACCTGAAGGAGGCGTCTGGGGGAAGGGTGAAGAGTTTCTTGGCGGATCCGCCGGGGAGTGTGCTACACTCGTATATCAGCTCGGGGGGGAAGTTGATAGAGCGGACGGGGTCGAGCATCACCGAGGGGATCGGGCAGGGGCGCATCACGGACAATCTGGCGCCGGACCTGGAGCTGGTGGACGGGTCGCTGCACATCAGTGATGAGAAGAGCATCGAGATGGTGTATCGGTGCCTGGATGAGGAGGGGCTGTACCTGGGTGCGAGCTCAGCGCTGAACGTGGTCGCCGCCAAGGAGGTGGCTGAGAAGCTGGGCAAGGGACATACCGTGGTGACGGTGCTCGCTGACGGCGCGTACCGGTATGCTGATCGGTTGTTCTCGAGGAAGTGGCTCGAGACCAAAAACCTGCTGTCCGCCATCCCGGAGCATCTGCAAAAGTACATCGTCCTGCCATAGCCAGCGCCGCGCCTGGCCGCCTTCTGTTTACAAATACATAGATTATCTACAAATGTACATAGCCTCAGCCTAAACATCCAGACGCCCCAAACCCGTGTCGCTCATGCCGCTTCCCCGCCCTACGCCTTTTCCCCCGCCTCCTGCTCCCCTTGCTCCTGCGGGTTGAATATCGCGTTGTAGAGGGCGATGCCTCTGCCTTCCTTCTGCTCCACCGAACCCAGCGCGGTTTCGATCTCGGCCTTCACCGCGCCGGCCCGGTTCTGCAGCTGCTTGGCCAAATCGGGGTCCACAACTCTCGCCGCCAGCGCCAAGCCGTTCAGTACGGGCGCCGCATAAAACAGGAACGAGTTCCGGTCGAGGATATAGCGCATAGGGCCGTTCTTTTGGTACGACTCGTCCGGCTGGAGGTCCAGCAGCCCCTTGTTCTCGGGCCACAGCGTGACCAGCTCCTGGGCGTACTTGGCCACCTGGCCGTCGTCGTCCTTGTCGCCCTTGAGGTACACGGCCCGGGCAGCCGCCATGTGCAGCCGGGAGGCCAGGACCTGCGGGTCCCGGTAGAAGGGGAAGGCGCCCACGTCCTTGCCCTTGGGCAGGTGGCTCTCGTCGCTCTCGAGAATGTTGAGAATAAGGCGGACCTGCTTTAGTGCGGTTTTGGTTTTGACTTCGTCCCAGCCGCTGGTGATGGCTGGCTGCTGGAGGTATACGAGAAACTCGTTGATGATCCTGGAATTGTCGAGCTTGAAGCCCGTCCGATCGGCCGCTTTGATGCAGTCCATAATCAACTGAAGCTGTTTGAACTCGGCGGCCCGTCGGAGGAATATGCTATATTGGAATGAATCCAATTTGTGTCCCGCCCCTGACAACGCCTGCGAGGAGCGGCGGGATGTTGTGCAAGTCGGCCGGGGTACTGATGAGCTTGAAGGCCTCCCTCACTGTGTCGCGGCTGCTCGGGAGATCCCTCACCCGGCTCCTATAGCGGAACTTGTGGACCACACCGTCAATTTCCATGGTGATGGGATCATTCTGGAGGATGTGCTTGAGCTTTTCCTTGTAGATCTTCCTGCGTTGATCCGGGGCCAGGTATGTCGGCAGGATGACCATTGTCCGATAACGGTCGAGTAGTTCGGCTAGCTTAGTATTGGAGGACTCGCCGAAACTGAGGATGTGGGCGGCTACATCAGCAGGCATGTCAGGTTAGCAATGCTAAATCCCTTTCGAAATAAGTTCGCCATTCGAAGACGAAGGTGGGGGGGAGCAAATGACATACCTCGGAGTGCTGAAGAGGCGGACAGCCATCTATGTTGGGCGGCAATGCCGCTACTTATGGGGAGCCATGTCCTGCTACCCGCTGCTTGTAGGACATTGTGTCCTGTTTTTGAGAAGAACATGGCTCGGTGAGGAGGGTGCTCGATGTGGTGATGTGAGGATTTAATTCAGGTGGGATGGATTCGATCGATGTCGGCAGCAGCACGGCACCTTGAATTTTTAGTGGACCCCGCACCTTCCACAGCCAATTGGAGCAGGTCATTCGTCGAATCCCAAGACCCTCGAACATCGTTTGCACCTCGCCAGATCCAATTATCGAATTGTCGGCCGCTGCCCTGCTCGACGACCACCGCAGTTCGCACTTCCTCCGTTATGAACGTTGCGCCACTGGCAAGGCGGCCTTTGGGCTGTCTTAAGGCAAGCCTACGCCGGACGAGGCAACAAAAGTCCATGTTCACCCGGCACATGGCCTCTGAAGCAGCCCAGACGACGACGACGACGGCGACGAAGACACCACCACCAGAGCACGGTTTCTGTACGTTCCCCACCCCTTTTCTCTCCCCTCTCCCACATCTACACTCATATCAACACCCATATCCACACTCAGTTCTAACGATACTTCCCCTCCCCCTCCAGTCCGCCTCACCGACCGCAAGACCAAAACGCTCCGCTCCGCCTTCGCCGTCTACCCCTCCACGACAGTAGCCGGCGCCAACACGCTGGCGCCGCCGCCGGTCAACGCGCTGCAGGCGCTGCACGAGGCGCAGATCAAGCGGATGGACCCGACGGGGGCGCGGACGGCGCTGTTCGCCAAGACGCGCGAGGCGGCCAAGGTGGGCGACGTGCTGATGGTGACGCACCGGCGCGGCGGCGAGCCGTTCGCGGGCGTGTGCCTGTCGATCCGCCGCCGCGGCATCGACACGGCCATCCTGCTGCGCAACCACCTGGCCAAGGTCGGCGTCGAGATGTGGTTCAAGATCTACAACAAGAACGTCGCGGGCATCGAGGTCGTCAAGAGGCAGCGCAAGCGCGCCCGCAGGGCCCGCCTCACCTACATGCGCAAGCCCAAGCACGACTTTGGGAGTGTCGAGGATTTGGTCTTTGCCTGGAAGCGGTCGCGGAAGGTGTTCTCTACGGGCAAGCCTGCGGCCGGCGCGGCAAAGGCAAAGGCGAAAGGGAAGGGCGCGGCTGCGAAGAAGAAGTAGGTGTTTTTCGGTGCTGGGGGGGTGAGGGCGGTGTTACGGGATGGGGACCCCGGCCGTGTACAGATGTGTATACCATGTATAGAACTATCTACCCAAAATGGGATCGAAACCACCGCCCCAGCGAACTGAACAGAAGCAGAGACAAATCCCCCTGAGGCTACCTGATGTACAGGCATAAAGTCCAAAAATCTAAAAAGCAGTAAAATCACCAAGACACCTCCTCATCGGCCACCGCTGTGTTGACGATCTAGGGACTTTGGGTCTCATCTGGACCGGATTTGTAAACCAAACAAACAAGCACAAGCTCATGATCAGCGTTCGAACTAATGATTACAGAGCAAGCGATCCATCCAGTGGGAAAAGCGTTCTCAAACCTAATCCATAAATAGCATGTACCATGTGGTCTCTTCCCCACCCAGTTCCCCTCTCGAATACGTCCGAGACATAACTAGGCACGAGTGGGTGTGTGAGGAACTTGGCGTTAACTAATGCCTCGCCCACATTCAACCCCAAAAGTTTGGGGTTTCGGAAAAGCGTGGTCAAGCGTCTGTGGGGGGATGCCTCGTCTGGGTAATGATATGCTTGGTTGGCCGATCAAGAAGGCCTATATCGGAAGTGATGAAAATAACGCCCGCTATGGCGTCAGTATAGAACTCGTAGGACCAGGTTGAACATCATTGTTAAAGTATTTATTAGGTATGTACCTATGTACTGTTTTGAACTGTCACCCAAAGAGATGGGCCAACTGACACAAAGTATGATAACAGCCCGCTACGGGGCTGTCAGTGTTACTCCAAGCCTCCAATACCAACTCAAGCACCCCCGTGGTACATCCTCAACATCACACCAAAAGGGTGTTGGGTGGCTCCTCTGGCCAAAAAAGCCGAACTCGAAAGGGACCAAGAAATCAAGACGAGGGAGAAAGAAGTGAAATGAACCAAGAAAAGAGGAAGAAGCGAAGAAGACCAAGAAAAAGAAGAAGTAGAGAAAACCGAGTCAAATAAAAAATCGACTTGGGTTTCCGAATACCTTTCTTTTTCGTTCCTCCAGTCAAAAGTTTCGGTGGTCCCTGCACTTACTTAGAATTTGGCTTTCTTTGGGGTATGACAGTCGGGAACGCTGTGCCCCCCATTTGACGCGGGCCGGTGGTTGCATGCATGTACATGTCTGTAGCACCTGCTTCTTCGGCAACAAGTATACTAGACTTGATGCCGGCGACCGATAGAACCTTTCCCCTCATGCTGTCAGGAGAGAACGACCTAACTCAAAACAATCGAAAAGTACGCCATGTGGGGTGGGGGTGTGAAGAGAGGTACAGTGTAGTGGACACATCATAGGTACCACTCTTCTTTTTCCGTCTCAGCAGCAGTGCTGGACTCACCCATCCCGCGCCCCGATTCCGGCAACTGAAATCATAGCCAATGATCAACAAGCATTGTCACCATCTCGACACTCTGAAGCCTGGCATAGGTCGCGGGGATTTAATGACCCGACTTCCCGCGGCTTTCCCGGTGAGGCCTCACGACCCGCTCGCCTCCAAGGGGTAGTCGAAGTTCCGGGGCGCCCCGGGCCGTTATCATTGGAGACATTGTTTGGGAACCCCACACGGTCAGATCCCCAAAAACCCAAATGAGACAATAAGGATCCGCTGCAATTTCGGTGTGCGTGCCCGTGATCTGTCTCACTCGTGCCCACGCGGCTGGACGGACACAGCGCCGGTGGCTCGGATTGGATGGGATTCCGTTTTTTTCGTGGGATGAATGTTGTTGTGCGTTACGTAGTAGCAGGTCTGCGGAGGTCCCAACGGACAGGTATGTGGATGTACCTATGATTTAGCTCTGCTTCTGGAAACCCATCATACCACGAGGCAACAAGAAGCTAATTGGCCCATATGTGGTGCTTAGCGTTGGGTTCAAGTCATCTCTTGAAAAGAGATTCGGGAGGCTCCGAGTCGTGGGTGAGACCACTTTTTAAACGTCGACTTGGCGCATCTGGTTGGTTGAATCGGCATTTCCTCCCCCTTGGCATGCTTGTTGGGTTGCGTCAAGATCTGGATCCTGCAGGACCCCCCTGTTTCTCAGGTGCGGTGTGGTTGGTGGCTTGTTTCGAGCCGCTATTTTGGTACATTGAATGGTTGTGCCGTCTTTCGTTGTGCATGAGTGCGTTTCATTGAATAAAGGTGCAATACATACGCAGGACTGTCGTGTCACGGGTAAGACGACGTGCCTCCGGATACCCGGGACGATCCCAGAAGAGTCCGGGTCTGGAAGGGCCCTTGTAGCGTTTCGGGGCCACCGTACCTAGCCAAGACATTTAGTGGCGCTGCAGTCCGTCTTCTTTCGTGGGGATTTCTTTGGGGTGATGGTGGAGGCCCGCACAATCACATCTTTTCGTCGGGCCAAAGGGGGCACTTGCAGCCAGACCGCATGCAGAGCGAAATCGCGCACCACCGCAGGAAAGCAGAGAAGTGGTCCGACCGTCCCCAGCTTGGCAAAGAACATGGGCGTGCCATCACAGCCGTTCCCGGCGAGCCTGGTTCTCCTCAAATATTGCTCGGGTTTCCCACGTGCGAGCTCTCCGGGAATGTTTTGGAAGGAAATCCTTGAGCAGGGGTGGCACGGTTGGGTTCCGCTTTTGTTTCTCGCCAACAAGCTGGGCTGCTGAGCCGAGTTTCTTGGCACAGCCCTTGCCAGCCTTCGGACCCCACTCCTTGCTCACCTCAAGGAAAAGAATGGATCAAAGAGCCACTGCTGCACATGCATGCCTGCTGACCCTTGCACCGCCCACCTCGCCCACCTCGCCCACCTCTAACCGTCACAATAACTGCCCTGTAACGAGCAAATCTGAGAGAGAATTGAACGTCCGAGTCCTCCACATCCCAAACCCACCCGCTCCCGTCTTTCCCCAACCTACTTTTCGACCACACCCACCTTACACGGCATCGTCACCGCCAAATCACGATTGTTACCGTCTCGGCCCCCCATCTGCGATTACCGCCGCTCTTCCATCTGATTGAGTAACACTATCCCGGCTGCCAACTGCCTTAGGTCAGGTCAATATCTCCTCGGGGGCTTGTTACACCAACTTGCATTATCTCGACCACGCTTCGACGCTCTCCCCAACACACTTTCGTCTCTATCCTTCCACCATCCCCGACCAGCTGCGCACAAATATCGCCATCTTTCGCCGTCATGTCTGCGCCGTGCCGCAAACACAATTGATCCCTCCTGCTGTGCAGGGTGTGTACACATCTTTACAGAGAGTATCGCCGGTTGATCGCAACAACGACTAATTCGCCTGTCACATTCACCTGTCGCTCAGCTCGCTGATCTCAAGCGCTCTGCCCTCACATTCTTTTCGCTCTTTATCATATTTTCTCCCCCCCCTCTATTACCTAAACAGGCATTCACCATGGACCGGCTCAAGGATATGCTGGTTGGCCAGATTAAGGCTCTACGGCCGGCCTTCATATCCAAGCAGCCGCATTTCAACTTCATCTCGGCTCACTGTGAGTATTTCCAACACCCACGCCGCTTCGGTTCGAGGTAGGACAGCCCGCTCATGCTGTGTAGATTTCTATGTCATCGGTCTCGCGCTGGTCGGATCTGTCATCGTTTTTGGTGCTGGCAAAGGCAATATTGCCTACATCGATGCTTTGTTCTTGGCGAGCTGCACCACCACCCAGGCGGGTTTGAACACGGTCGACCTGAACATTCTCAACACCTTTCAGCAAATCGTCCTATATCTGTGGCCGATGCTGGCAAACCCCATCACCATCAACTCCTTTGTTGTCTTCCTCCGTCTGTACTGGTTTGAGAAGCGTTTCCAGCACATCGCGCGCGAAGCCCGCTTGAGAAGAGGCACTCTCTCTAAGGCCAAGTCGAAGGCGGGACTTGACAATGCCGACGCCGAGAAAGGCGTGAATGGTCGCAAAATCACCGTCATGCTCAACGGTGCCCGATCGCGAATCACCAACGACGGCATGCTGCTCGAAGGCAATCGGTCGCTGGCAAACGAGCAACGGCGTGTTCCCAGCCCACAGCCCCCGAATCAGACCAAGACAAATAGCCCCGATGAGACCTCGGAACCCCGCAAACCCGAGATCAAGTTCGCTCACACCCTTACCAAGAGTGATGGGTTGGGCGAGGACGCCGTCAAGCTTCCACCCGCGAGGTCTGACCACGAGCACATCGCCTTTCTTGAACGCCAACGGAAAGGGGATGACGAGGTGCTTCGGATCCCAAACCCGAGGGACGCTGAACGAGGCATGCTCCCGAAGCGTGTTGAGGCTGGAGACGACGAGGAACCCGATGTCGGTGACGCGCCTGCAGGAGCCTCCGCACCGACAGCTGCGGCCGACAACCGCCAGCAGGCCATCACCATCGAGGAACCTGACCGGAACAAGCTGCAGCAATCTGACTCAGATGAGCTTCTCGAGGATGCCAAAGCTGCTGCCCACGCTTTGTCGTTCCTCAAGCTGCGGAAACCTCGGTTCTTGAGCCGCACAAACAGCAAGTCTCACGGCACGGAAGCTGATTCGTCTGCCACCGCTACCGCCGCCAGGACCAGAAGCCGCAGGCAATCTTTCCAGTCCATGCGGACCGCCTTTTCGAGGGAGAAAGTCGAGGGTACACCGTACCTGAGCTGGGAGCCCACCATTGGCCGCAACTCCGCTTTTCCAGATCTAACTGAGGAGCAGAGAGAGGAGCTCGGAGGCATCGAGTACAGGTCTCTGAAAACCCTAGCCTTGGTTCTGACGGGCTACTTTTGGATCTACTCGGCCATCGGCGTCATAGGTCTGGTCCCTTGGATCTTAAACATGGACAGCTACGGAGAGATCGTTGACCAGGCTGGCGTGAGCCGGACTTGGTGGGCCTTCTTTACATCGAGCTCGGCTTTCATGGATCTGGGCTTCACCCTGACGCCCGACAGCATGAACTCGTTCAACACCGCCGTGTGGCCGCTGCTGCTGATGAGCTTCCTCATCGTCATCGGGAACACAGGGTTTCCCGTTATGCTCCGGTTCATCATCTGGGTCCTGTCTCACATCACCCCAGCCGGCACTGGTCTCTACGAGGAGCTGAGATTCCTGCTCGACCACCCTCGCCGATGCTTCACATTGCTTTTCCCTTCCGGCGCCACTTGGTGGCTCTTCTGGCTGCTCGTGATTATGAACGGCCTCGACGTCATGTTTTTTATTGTCCTCGATGTAAGTTCACGCTGAGTGGTTGTTGGTTGGCCATGGTCCTAACTCCTTCGTGCAGCTCGGAAAGGGACCTGTCGTCGATTTGCCCGCCGGCCTCAAAGTCCTCAATGGTCTTTTTGAAGCCGTTGCCACAAGAACCGCCGGCTTCTCCTGCGTCAACCTCGCTGCGCTTCACCCTGCTGTCCAATTTTCATACATGGTTATGATGTATATCTCTGTCTTCCCGATCGCCATCTCCGTCCGTCGCACGAACGTGTACGAGGAAAAGTCGCTGGGTGTCTATAGCTCGCACGACGTCGAAGAGCAACCTGGACAGTCTGACTTGTCCTACGTCGGGTCCCACGTGCGCCGGCAGCTGTCCTTCGACTTGTGGTACATCGTCATCGGTTTCTTCATCATCAACATCTCGCAGGAGCAATAGCTCATGGCCAACGACTTCTCTGTCTTCTCTGTTCTCTTCGAGATTGTCAGCGCCTACGAGCACGGTCGGTATGTCACTTGGCCACCCCAGCGTCAACGCGTCGTTGTGCTCGCAGTTCTCTGTCGTCGGCAAACTCGTCATTATCGCCATGATGGTCCGTGGCCGCCACCGCGATCTGCCCTACGGGCTCGACCGCGCTATCCTGCTCCCCAGCGAGGCGCTCAACGCCCGGGAAGCGGCTGATGCCGACGCTCGGATGGCCAGGATCCAATCCCACGCATCGGTCGCCACCGGCGGGCCGCGGGGCTCCAGTGTGGGCCGGCGCAAGAGCATGAACGGAGACCGCGGTAACATCCTCGCTTCGCTGTTGCACCCGGGCCCGGCCGTCCCCGTTGACCCCGTCATGACCGAGATCCACCGCACAAAGTCGACCGAACCCAACGACGAAGAGCTCGACTCCCACGCCACGCGCGTCACCTCGCGGCGCACAGAGCCCGGCGTCTCACGCCGGCACGACCCGGCTTTATACATACACCGGCCACGGACTTCGGCCGGGGAAGAGGACTGAGCCGGCTCAGCCCGTTCGGCGGTTTTCAGGGATACATATTCTGGCTTTCAAGGCGTTTTTTCTTTTCTGGGAGGACAGATCTGCTTCATGAATACAAAGCACTGCAATACGGTAATGGGGGTTTTGGAAAAAGAGAGTACGGGTTTTATAGATAGAAGTGGATGCATACTACTCGTTACCGATGCGGGAAGAACTGGGCGTTTTGTGGGTGGTGTATTGGATAGTATTAATATCGGGATAGGCAAGCATGGGCACAGGATGTTACACGGCTATAGACGTGATACCAGCAATATACGGGGAGGTGGTTTGCACTTTTGTATGTATTACCGCTCGCTCACTACCTAGTCTTGAGAGGAATGGTGTTGGTGCAATAACAGCTATCAGTCTCATTACTTGGTGACGGATGGCTGAGCTGCTTGATTCGCTCGCTCACCGACTGTTCGCAATTAATTCCTTATACTTTAGTGTCCAACCACTTTTTAAATTATTTGCCGTGGCGATGATCTGAGGTCTCCTGCCCAATCTATAAAACGCCAGTTTCGTCGATTTCAGAACCAAACCCGCCCCTATTTCATGTTGTTATACAAACAACCGCCAGCCATGTCTTCTAGCAACAAGGGTACCTGGTAGAGTACCATCCAATCTGTAGGTATGCACGTAGGCACGTAAAAGCAAAACCCCCTTCTTTCCCATCACCCCCTCGCGCGACTCTTCTCCTTCTCCCTCTGCAGCCCCTTGAAGAACTTGCTCTGCCCATCGCCACCCGCACCCTTCTTCCCTTTACCCTTGAGCGCCTTATTCGCCGCCTTGTTCTGCTCGATGTAGGCCATGTCCTGGCCGCCGGCGAGCTCGCTCAACATGCCGGCGGTGCGGCGGACGCCGTTCCCGGCTTTCCTTCCACCACCGCGGCCGGGCTTCCCGAACAGGTCGTCGGTCTCGACGTCGTCCTCGCCGCCGCGCTCGTTGTCGACGAGCGTGCGCTGTAGGAGTTCGCGGCTCTCGAGGGGGGTGGCGAAGGCCAGGTCGGGGGTCTTTTCGATGTTGGCGAGTTGGGTGATGACTTTGAAAGCGTAGCCTTGGTCGACGAGGAAGGCTTGGCGCTTGGAGGAGTAGTACATTTCTTGGGTGTCTTTGGAGACGAGGGAGTAGAAGAAGGCGTTGAATCCTTCGTCGTTACGGCGTTTAGCCCGGAGGATACGCCCCAGGCGCTGCGCCTCCTGACGACGGGAGCCGAAGTGCGATGAGATTTGGATGAGGCAAGTCGCCTCCGGGAGGTCGAGAGAGGTGTCGCCGATCTTGGAGAGGAAGAGGGTGTTGACCTCGGGATTGTGCTGGAAGTTCTCGAGCACTTGCATGCGCTCGTTCTGGGATGTGCCGCCGTAGATGAAGACCTTTTTGAGTTTGAGGGCGTACTGCTTCAGCGAGTAGAGCTCGTCCGAGAAGACGATGATCTTGTCGCCGCGAGCCTCGTGGTAATTGATGAGGTACTGGCAGGCCTGGAACTTCCGTGGGTTCATGGCGTAGAGGGTGCGTTTCATGCGGGCGTTGGCGCGTAGATACTCGTCGTAGAACTCGGTCGGCATGGGACACCAGACCTCGGCGCATTGTACCTTGGCGATGTGGCCCTTGTTGCGACAGTTCCATCCAGTTAGCCTCGTAGAGTTTGGGGCCGATAAGGAAGTTAAGGTGGGAAATTTTGTCATCTTCTCGGAGTAGTGTTGCCGTGAGCCCTAGTTTGGAGTGCGATTTAATGGATGAGATAACTCTCCTGAACATCTCGGCTGGAACGACGTGGACTTCGTCTAGGAGCATCAGACCCCATTCACGCCCCCTCAGAAAGTCCATCATCTTCTTCGAATCGTGGGAACGTTCTCGGCTGTTAGTAACCATCGAGTATGTGGTGACGATAATGCCCGTGCTACCCGAAAACTTCTGTTTGCTCTCGGCGGTGAAGATAGCAACATCATCCGGGTTGATATTGGACCACTTGAGGAACTCCTGGCGCCACTGTACAACAGACATAGAACTTGTACAGAGGACGATGACGCCCTTCTTGATTGTGCAAGCGGCCGTGATGCCGACTAGCGTCTTGCCCGCACCGCACGGTAGAACGATGATGCCGCTTTTCGCGCGACCATTACCAAACATCTTACTCAGGCTCTTTTCCTGGTAAGGACGGATTTGGGTGTTCGGGCGCAGGTCAATTTCGAGGTTCGGGTTTACGTCGTCATTTCTGAAGTCATATTCTTCCAGGATGGGGAAGCCTATGTCGAGACAGCGCTTTTGGACCGTCTCGACGTCGGCATCCGAAATCTCAAATGCATGGACGGCTTCTTTATCGTCATCGTCATCTTCTTCATTCAGGGCGTTGAAGAGGTCAGCCTCGTTGGAGGCATCCCCTCCCTCGCCGGGTTTCTTTTCGGCCTGCCTCAAATTGGCCTGGTGGACGCCAGCAGCATTTTGGGTCCCCGGGATGACGAGACCACCCATGGTGGGTGCATAGCTGGTTGTGATATCGCCGGACCCGTGGACGCGGAGTGACCCGATCACTTGGTCCTTTAGAAGGGTTTGTAATACCTCGGCGTCCACGCTCTCTACGAAGTATTTGTTGTGTTTGAGGACTAACTTCACCTTGCCGAAGCTCTTGGTGTGGTCTTCGATCTTCCTGCGGACGACATCGGGCAACGAGGTCTTCAAGAAACGCTCTAGCGTGTTGATTATGTCTCGCGGCCGCAAGCCCACTGACACGGCGGCGTACAGGCTGTGTGGTGTCAGGGCATACTCGTGCAGGAATGTAGGCCGAGACTTTGGTTCCGCGATTGTGATGAGGAAGTCAGTCGCCTGCTCGGCCAGCGGATTGAATCGTTCGAGAACGACCGTGCAGCTATCTGGATCGATCCACAGCGGCCGGTTCTGGTGGTCGGGTTTCAGCGGCAGATAGGAGAAGTCCCGCTTCTTGAATAACCGCGTCGCCGCATCAGCTCGCCTACCCCTGCCGGCCAGTTCGTCGTCTTGGCCCTGGAGGCGCTTGCCCTTAAAGGTAAACTTGTTGACGAAATCGTCAGCTTCCCTGGACAGCAACGCCTCGCGTTCCCTCTGGGCTTCGGTCACATCCTCATCGAAGTCATCATCGCCATCGGACATTATCGAGCTGTCGAGACTCCGCGGGGTCGCCGGGCCCGGGGTCGACATGGCAGACGCCCTTCCTGCTTTGGTCGCATTTCCCTGCCCCGGCGCCGCCTTTCGCTTCGGCGGCATCCTCACCGCGGTGTTGTGTCTTCAACCGGATTTGAACAAGTCGAGAAATATTTCACGATCGTAAAGGATTCCACCGCCTTCTTATGCGCGCGGTCGAAGATGGCCGGGGGTGAGTGATGGTGGGGTCGAGGCCAATGTCGATGGCGGAAACAATGAAGGCGAGCCTCGAGGTTGGAGCGGAAGTCGCTGGTGGTGGTAGCCTTGAAGTCAGTGCCTTGAAGTTCAGTCAATTGATTGCCTGGCCTCTGGAATGACTTAGTAATTATGGGTCCGGTTCCATCGAATATTGCCCCACATCAACTTTTTGGCCTGCCGAGACCCCGCCACAAGCGAAGACCGGCAAGTCTGGCCCGGGGGTTCAGATTCACCGACTTCCAACTCCCTATGACAGCAAAGGCAACACCAAGAATTCGAGTTTCTGTTTCTACAGTGCACACCAGCTATTGTATACAGCAACACCACTTTCATAATGTGGTATGTTTATCCTCTCAAGCCAAGTTCGAGCCTTGCCTTGTCTCATTTTCGAAGCTAACAACCCCCCCCCCCCTTCTATTAGTAAATACATCCTCAACGCCCAAGTCTCGGTCCGGTCACCATGTTGTGAGTTCACCCCCTTCTCCCCTTTCCCCCCTTCACACACCCCAAACCCAGGGAAACACCCCCTCCCAACCACCCCTTCCACTCACACACACCCCCAGGCCGCAAATGGTTCGACTGCCCCGAATGCCACGCCGAGCAAGAGTCGCACCCGCTGCTCCAACGATTCGAGATGATCTTCGCGTGCAAGAAGTGCCGCAAGTGCTTCCGCAAGGACGCGCAAGAGTTCGAGGAGGCGGACGAGTACTGCCCGCACTGCGACAACCACTTCGTGCTGGACGCGCTCACGCCCAAGGCGGCCATCAGCGTCGAGGGCGCCGACGTGCGCGTCGACAGCCGCATGATCAAGGACGAGCGCGAGAAGGCCAAGGACGGGGAGCGCGTGACTGTGTTTGATCCTGATCGGGAGGCGGATAAGCTGGGTTGAGGTTTTGGGAGGAGGTGGGGGAGATGTTGAGGGAATCCGGAAGAGGCTGGGGGGGAGGGGGAGTGGGCATTGTGCCGCTGTGCTTTGAGCGTGTGGGATTTTTGGTACTTTAATGAGAATACCCGCGGACTTGGGCGTAAAGAATAGAGATGAGAGCTCTGGGGCGCGGGGCAACACCAAAAGCATATCATTTTCACCGTGGTCGCGTTCATGGTATGGCCTTATAGAAAAGGGTTTTGGCTCTTCTTTTTTGGTGCCTGCCGTTTATCTCATGCGCAAGTCCAAGTTCTGGCCCTCCTGACACCGCCCCGCCACTACTGCTCACTGGACTCCCCCTGAGTGCCCCGCGTCAGAATGGCGGCGGCACCCGTCCCAGGGGTTCCTGCCACGTCTTCTTCTTAGCCGCCTCCTTCCCTGCTTCTCCTGCTCAATGTTCTTGACGTAGTTCTCAATGTCCTCGACCGGCAGCATCTCGACCGGCTTGCCTGGCGCCATGATGGCGATCTCGATGTTCTTGGCGCCTGTCTGTACCACCTCCAACAGCGACTTGAAGGCGAGCCGTACGGTCGCCTCCCGGTCCATGTCCTCCTTGTAGTTGCGCTCCAGGAACTCGCGAACCGTCTTGCTCGATCGGCCGATGGCGTTGGCTTTCCTGTAGCTGGCGTCAGCCTGTAAAATATCCTCTAACCGTTATGCCCGGGCTTACCATGCAGAGTAAATGCCCGAGGGCTCCGTCTGGTAGAGTCGGGGTTGCTCGCTCCCTTTGTCGAAGCCGACGACCAGGGTGCTAATGCCGAAGGGCCGGACACCACCGCTCTGAGTGTACCGCTGCTGCACGCCGGCAACGTATTTGGTAATGTACTCAATCGTAACAGGGTCTTCGAGGTTGAGGCGGTGCGACTGGGCTTCTAACCGCGCCTTGTCGACCAGGATGCGGGCGTCCGCGTTGAGGCCGGCGAAGGCGAGGCAAACATGGGTATCGAGGAGACCGATCTTGGAGGGAGTGATACGTGTGTCTTGTAGCTTCATGGCTGATCGCTTCTCACAACCCAGCACTACCACATCCGTTCCCTTGACGCCGACGGCGCAGGTACCTATATGGCTGTCAGAGGCGGGGTGACGGCGCTAGTGGGGGACGGTGACGGCGTACCTCTCTTAACAGCTTCGCCCGCATACTCGACTTGAAAGACGTGTCCATCGGGACTAGGGAAAGTTAGCGGCTCGTTGTTCGGTTTTTCGGAGCGATGATGACGGACCTAAACACTGAAGGCAAGCTGGGTTAGCGATGGTGGGATAGCTGTGGAGCTGCGAACAGCGCCCAAGGTAACTCACCTGAAAGAGCTCTGTCGTATCCCGAAGCCATGGTGGACGAGTTTCAATCGTAGATATAGCACGCCGCAATAAGGTCCAATTATTCGGAACGGGAGCTTCGCTGTGCGTGCGAAAGGGCAAGATGCTGTGGCTTTGGGTGTGATCGTGGTTGGTGGTCGTTGCTTGGAGATGCAGCGCAGCGCAGGCTGCCACAGCTGTGACGACGGGCTCAAGGCTGCCAAGGAGCTCGCCCCCAGCTGGGCTGACCCCACCTGATCCTTCTAGCCAATCATCTAGTACCACTGCTTCAGCCGTGTCGTTCCTTGCACTTCAACGCCATCGCCGTCTTCGAATTTGGTTTGTCTATTTGTCTACTCCTGTAGGAAACTATATAACACTAAAACACTTTCCTTCGATGGTACGAGTTCAACGGCTGGTGGGAATATAGCGTTAACAGTAAAGCTGAAGCTGGAATGAAGAAAGAAAGTGCCAACGGCAATCTTGTAGTTTTGTTTCTACCTCTGAACGTTTCTTCTCGCGGTCGAGTTTAAAGTTTCAACCCGCTGATATATTACATCCTTTGCGACGCTTTTCTTCCTTCTACGTAAGAGGTTGCGGCCCAGAACACGGCAGCTTGGGGCAACAGAAAAAGAACAATGTTGAAGACTCTAGGCTGGGGGTTAGGGTTAAATGCGTTGATCGGGCAGTTCATGACAGGTGACAGTCGGGTATCACCAGCTGCCATATCGCTGTAACACAAATTGAGCCTGTCGCCGGTGTCGCTGCTTCCGTGAGCTCATTTACAACTCATTGTCTTTTACTTTTTTTTTTCTCCAGCCTCCTAAAATCAGTCGGTAACTGTTCCGCCATTTTCAATTGGCCTTGGCTGGACGTATCTGTATAATATCCAACCTTTACTATTTTATTTTATTTTATTTTGGCAACCGGTCGTGACCATGGCCGCCCGCCAACAGATGGCTCCGGTGCTGAGGAGGTTGAGATTGCCGAATGCCCCAACAAATCTCGGCAGGCAAGCCTCCCTGCAGCAGTCACTCTCACGCTCCGTTCGCTGCTTCAGTAACTCTTCACCCCAGCGGTTCCAGAGGACGGCCCCTGCAGCTGCTGTTCAGAGCAAGTTCACCAGCGAGTCATACCCGGACATCAAGCGGGACAACCGCTTTGCCCAGCTCACCGAGGAGCATGTGACCTACTTCCGAGAGCTACTCGGCAGTGAGTCGGCTGTCATTGATGGCGTGACAAGCTCCGACGCCGCCGACGACATCGAGCCCTTCAACAGTGACTGGATGCGCAAGTACCGTGGTCACTGCAAGCTGGTGCTCAAGCCCGCCTCGACCGAGGAAGTCAGCAAGATTCTCAAGTACTGCAACGACAAGATGTTGGCTGTCGTTCCACAGGGCGGAAACACGGGCTTAGTCGGCGGTTCGGTGCCGGTGTTCGATGAGATCGTCATCAACATGAGCCGTATGAGCCAGATTCTTGAATTTGACGACGTCAGCGGCACGCTGGTGGCCGAAGCTGGATGTATCCTCGAGGTCGCCGACCAGTTCTTGGCCGAAAAGGGGTATATCTTTCCCCTAGATCTTGGCGCGAAAGGTTCCTGCCAGATTGGAGGCAATGTCTCAACCAATGCTGGCGGTCTGCGGCTACTCCGGTATGGGAGCCTCCACGGCACAGTCCTAGGGATAGAGGCTGTGCTCGCTGATGGCACTGTTGTCGATGATCTGTGCAAGCTCCGCAAGAACAACACGGGCTACGATCTGAAGCAGCTGTTCATCGGTGCTGAAGGTACCATTGGCATCATCACCAAGGTCTCCATCCAGTGCCCACAGCGCTCCCCGGCACAAAACGTGGCTTTCTTTGGTCTGGAGTCTTTTGACCAGGTCCAACTGGCCTTCCGCGAGGCCAAGGGTCAGTTGTCCGAAATCCTATCAGCTTTCGAGCTTATGGACGAGGGCAGCCAAGCGCTAGTCCGCCAGGTCACCAACAACAAGCGGCCGCTGGAAGACAAGTATCCGTTCTACTGCCTGATTGAGACGAGTGGCTCCAACGCCGACCATGACAGCGAGAAGCTACAGGCTTTCCTCGAGGACGTCATGGAGAAGGGGATTGTTGTGGACGGAACCCTCGCGCAGGATGAGACGCAAATCAAGGCCCTGTGGGCTTGGCGCGAGGGCATCACGGAAGCGCTGAGCCACCTTGGCGGCACGTACAAGTACGACGTCTCCATCCCCCTGAAGGAGCTGTACCAGCTGGTCGAGGACACGCGCGCTCGGGTCGACGCCGCCGGCCTGCTCGGCGACACCGAGGAGTTCCCTGTCCGTGCCGTGGTTGGGTATGGGCACATGGGAGACGCGAACTTGCACCTCAACGTTTCAACCAGACGGTTTGACGAGAGGGTCGAGAAAGTACTCGAGCCCTTTGTCTATGAGTGGATTGCCGAGCGTCAGGGCAGCATCAGCGCCGAGCATGGTCTGGGTGTCATGAAGAAGAAGTTCATCGGATACAGCCGTAACCCGACTATGGTTGGATTGATGAGGAACATCAAAACCACGCTTGATCCGGTAAGCCCGCCTATTCTTCTCCTCCGTATCTATTGCGTGCTTTGAGCTCATAGCTGACAATGTCGCAGAACGGCATTCTTAACCCCTACAAGTATCTTTAAAATTGGCATACCACTCAAGGTTTACCAACAACAACCACCTGCCATCCACTCGTGTCTGATCCTGATTTGCCACACTCCAAGTGTATATATACCCCATACATTATTGTACATACATAGCCAACGATGCCGTTGATTTCCCACCCTCCGGCTGGTCAACAACCTTCGATCATTTCGATCTCCTTTCCCGTCCGTTAACCTCGACCGAACGAGGCAGCCCAACGGCGTGTGGCTGACCGCAATTCCGGGAAGCGGCTGGCTTGCGCTTGCGGTCCGGTCCGTAACATGGGTTACTCAGCAAACAGCGTCTCGTGCACTCTGTTCATGATTTCTCACTGCCCACCGCTAGTTAAGGCGTTCCATTGGACGGGTTGCGAAGATTACACGAATGAGGGTCTCGCTCTCCTCTGTGCCGCATGCCCCAATCGTGCCCCGGCCAATCCGCACGCTCAACGCAGCAGCGAGCTTACCCCCCTGTTTGACTAGCCGGCTAAAACTAGCTGCAGGCGGAGCCCCTGGTTCTCCAGCTCGCTCCCTCAGCCCTATGGTAGGGCTTACTAGGAGCGCCGAGGCACGCTTTCTTCGCGCCCTGCTACCTACCTAGCCTTGTTTTGGCAGACTTCCCCCGGAGCTCATTTGGAATCCCCATTCAGCTCTCCATCCTAAAGATGGCTGTTCCACCCCCCAAAGCCATCTCCTGCGCTTTCTCCATGCAGTCATGGCGGGGCCATGCTCAAAGTCCCCAAAATACTAAAACGGCACTCACCCCCGGCAACATGGGAGAACCGGAGCTCGGAAGTCAGTAGGCGTCACCACTGGTCCTGTTCCGGCGGGTACCATGACGCACTCCGTAGTATAAGCGCGAGGCCTCAGCCGGCTAGCTAGGGGCTGTCAACGTAATACTGCATTGCTCTACGGTTTCATGGAAGACCTCGTCCACTATGTGGAGATAGGACGCGCTTGGCTCCAGGAGCTCGTAACATCTCCATGGTTCAAGAGGACACCTGCGTGTTTTGATCATATATTTTCTTGCCGGGCGTAACCCGTCATCTCTTACTTGCTTGGCGGACCTGGTCTAATTCCAAGGTCGTCTCATATGGTGACCGCTAGGATCGTCAGCAACCACTACTCAACGCAATCACCGCCGGCCAGGATTAACTGCAACCCCTATTGCATGGTCTTCCGGCCTGTAGCGGCTCCTGCTCGGATACAAAGAGCGGCTTGTTTCCCAAAGTCTCTCCCACGTCAACCGTCGCTAGACACTCGATCACGAAAACCTATAGTCGATTCTCAACTTGATACATTATGGGTAAGGACGTTCTCTTGTCTCTGGAAAACCTTTCCCCTTGTCCTTGGATGCCCAGCTTGTTTGCCAGTGGACCACCAACCGAGCTTGCCACATCAGGAGATAACTTGCGAAACCACATCACTAATCGAGACACAAAGTGGGCGTTCCGGGCAAATACAAAGGCTGCGAGAGTAAGTCATGCTCCCCGCAAAACATACCATCTCTGTCCCTTGGACTAGCAAACTAACGTTCTCCTTCTAGCCTGCCGTCTTCGTCGAGTAAAGGTACGTCAAAACATGATACACACAACCCAAACGACCAGCGCCACAAACAACCGGGCCCAGACCAACACAACTCACACCGCTACTCCTTTCCAGTGCGACAACCAACGGCCCTACTGCCGAAAATGTTTGGTACGTCCAAGCCCGCCCCCTTCTATTGTCCCCTTCCGAGCCCACGGAAGCTTCCCGCACCTTCCGGCACCTCCGAAACCACCCTCCCCTCCCCAGCCAACTGAGCACGCTTCCGCTGAGACACCCCCCCAACTCCCCAAACCCATCCCTCCCACTCCCAATCCCAATCCCCGCCCAAAGGAAACAGAGACAACCACCACAGAACCCCCCCCCCCCCCCCC